AAAAAAAAAAAAAAAAAAAAAAAAGAAAGACTAAAAAATGCGTATCGTCACGTTTTTCAATGCGGCGGTTTTTTGCTCCCTTCTCTGGTTTTTGGAACTGAATTTAGTACAAAGTGAATGGCAACAGAAACTTTTAGGAATAATTTTTTAAATTCGATCGAACTGAAGCGTTAACTGTTCGAAGTCCATCGAGAGCATTATTATAAAAATGTAACATCTAGTTGAATTGTTGCACGTATAATTTCCAGTTACGTAGAAACAGAATGAATTTATAAATTTAATTCTTCCCCTGTGCTTTAGTAATTAATGGACGTAAGCGTCACTCACCCTTCAATATTTAAGAAACTAATTGTCAACTCAATTTGAAATGTCTCGATATAATCTGTCGTTTGGTACAAAATTCAGTTCCAAAATTCAGTCACGATTCTCGGGAGAAACAAAACGAGATAAAACGCGTATATATATTCGTTAGAGAGATAAGATCGCAAGTAGATTCGAATCCTCCAAGGTAAAATTCAAACGTCGGTTCCCTACGAAATCTCGATACGTGATCTCAGAGATTTCTCCACGAACGAAGCTCGTTTCTGTTATTTTCCAAGCACACGAGACTCTCGAAGCAACGCAACTTGCAATTAGACACCGAACTCGATTCATAGAGTAAGATCGATTGCTTCACGTTCTGACTATCGACAATCGTAGATTGTTGGGAAGAATCGTAAGGCGCGACCGTTGAAAATTGGCGCGAGCGTAAATCTCGGACGGACGCGATCCCCGCCCGAAAGTCATTAGCCGGTGCTTTGCTCGCAGCTTGGTCATAAACCGCCTAAATCAACGAGAGCGCCGCTGCCGTTCCCCTTTGAAGTTGCCGGCGTCGGCCGCCCCTCGTGTGTATATACACACGTTGCACGCTATTCCCGTTGTTTGAGCGCAACGAATCGTCACGGATACGTGCCGCGCGCCAGCCGGAGAACGGTGTAAACGTCGCGTTGTTCGCTGCTCTGCGAAAGGAAACACGAACGATAGATAGATAGATAGGTAGAGAGAGAGAGAGAGAGAGAGAGAGAGAGAGAGAGAGAGAAATTGTACTAGAGAAAGGCAGATAGTGTGTGCAAAAGCGAACGAGCGAGAGAGGGAGAGAGAGAGAGAAAGAGGGAACGAAGGAGGGATAAATAAGCCGGTGCCAGAGACCGATATCGGTGACTGCCGTGCGACGTCATACAGCTAATAGAGATAGGCACGTGTTACGCGTCGGTCTGCATCGACGATCCCACCAACGCGAACGCAACGCCGACGATGACGGCGCTCTCTCCACCACCGCTCCGGGTACCGCTTTGCCGCATCACCGCACCGGCTACGAACGGGGGCGGCGGCGGTGGTGGATGCGTGTGCCGGTGGCAGGCTGCGGCAGTGGCGCCTCCGTGTCCTCCGCTGCCCCGCCGCCACCCATCGAAAACTTCCCCTGCATGCGTGCCGGCGCCGTGCTGCTGCTCCCCTTTCATCTCTCAGCGGCACGCATTCGGCATTCAGTCAGAAGCAGTCAGTTACGAGCGAGCCGTCGACAAGCCTGCACACAACCACTTCTCTCTCTCTCTCTCTCTCTCACTCCCTCTCTCTCTGTCACTTTCTCTCTTGCTCTCGTTCTCTCTCGATTCGAGCCAGCACGCGATTCGAACGCGAGCACCAAGAGCGCAAGAGTCAATCGGGCCTAGTAGGATTCGACACAGGGTATCGATCATTCGCTGTGTTTTGTCGCCGCGCGAGTACGTGATCGACGCGCGTGTAATCAGTCTTCCTTTTTTGCTTCATGCTTTCAGAGAGCCAATGAGCCCGCGCTGTCCTTCCAGAGATTCTCGGGAATCGTCCGGCCCGGCGACCGGAAGTCCTCCGCCGCCAGCGACGAGGAGCACCGCGAGCCCGGTCAGTCCGAGCGGGATCGTGCCGCTGCCGCTCGGCAGCCATCCGTTGCTACCGCCTCACTCGGCCGCGATGATGGCGGCGTACCTGCAACAGACCCACCAGAGACTGCTGCTCGGCCACTCGCCGCTGTCACGCGGCTCCGTGTCCCCGCTGGTATCGTCCTCGTGCTCGCCGCCGGCCGCCACTCCCGGCCTGCTGGTCTCGCCGAGCAGCGTTGGCGAGGTCTCGCCGTCGGCCACACCGTTGCCCGCGGTGCTCGACTTCAGCACGAGGAAAGCGTCGTCGACGGAGGACGACGAAGACGAGCAGATACTGAACCTGAGTAAGCCGCCGACTCCGTCCTCCGCCGCGGAAGCGAACAACGGCCCGTTGGATCTGTCGGTGCCGAGCAGGAAGCGACCGGGCCCGGAGGACTCTCCGCCGCTGCCAGTCCGCAAGTCGTCCAGGTTATCGGCCAGCAGCGCGGCGGCAGCGGCGGCGGCGGCTGCCGCTGCAGCCGCTGCGGCCCACCAGGAGGCCGCGCAAGCCGTGACCGCGGCAGGTTTTGGTCGGCCGCCGGTCGTCTCGCCGTGGACGTCGCCCGTGGTCGCCTCTCACTTTCCGTACTTCGCGGCCGCGGTCGCCGCGGCGGCAACTAGTCAGCAGCAACTCTCGCCGAAGAGCACCGCCGGCGTAGTGGAGCATCATCAGCAACTGTGGAACGGCAAGATGAAGCCACCGTCCGTGGCGCTGGACAAGTCGTATCAGCCGAGCGAGGCGACTAAGGCGCTGGAGAAGATGAGCGAGCTGAGCAAACTGGGCGGCGAGGATCTGTTCAGATCGAGTTCGAGCGGAGCCGCGAGCGCCGGGGCGGGTGGAGCGGCGGCAGCCGCGGCCGCGGCCGCAGCAGCGGCGGTCGCAGGGAACGCGACCGCCGGGACCACGTCCGGCAGCCGACACAGTGCCTGGCAGTCCCACTGGCTGAACAAGGGCGCCGACCAAGCGAAGGACGTGCTCAAGTGCGTGTGGTGCAAGCAAAGCTTCCCCACGCTGGCCGCGATGACGACGCACATGAAGGAGGCGAAACATTGTGGCGTGAACATGCCGGTGCCAGCGGCCGCGGCCGCGCTCCATCCACAGCCGCCGAGCGTGGCCGGTATCGCGGCGCCGCAACAACAGCCGCATCAGCCGCACCAGCCGCAAAACGCCGGATCCGGGAACAACGGTGGACCCGGCGGGGGTGGCGGCGGTGGTTCGGCTGCCGCTGGTACACCGAGCAGCAAACAGAGCCCATCCGAGTTGAATCTGTTGATCAAGGAGACGATGCCACTGCCGAGGAAGTTGGTCAGAGGTCAGGACGTTTGGTTGGGCAAGGGCGCCGAGCAGACCAGGCAGATACTCAAGTGCATGTGGTGCGGCCAAAGTTTCCGCTCGCTCGCCGAGATGACGTCGCACATGCAGCAGACGCAACACTATACCAACATCATCTCCCAGGAGCAGATCATCTCGTGGAAGTCGTCGGACGAGAACAAGGGTGGTAGCGGCGGAAGCGGGGGAAGTGGTGGGGGCGGCGGTGGAGGAGGCAGCGGATCGGTGGCCGGCGCCACCGGAGGTGGTGGCGGCGCGGTAGCGGCCGGTGGCGCGTCCGGACCGCACGCTGGGAACGCCACCGGTCCCGGTTCCGGCGCCACCAGCAGCCACGTGAGCGCGGTGCTCACGTGCAAGGTCTGCGACCAGGCGTTCAGCTCGCTGAAGGAATTAAGCAACCATATGGTGAAGAACTCCCACTACAAGGAGCATATAATGCGCTCGATCACCGAGAGCGGCGGACGACGACGGCAGACCCGGGAGAAACGCAAGAAGTCGCTGCCGGTGAGGAAGCTGTTGGAGCTGGAACGCGCGCAGAACGAGTTCAAGAACGGGGACGCGGCGACCGGGCTGAGCCATCACAGCCTCGGCAAGCACGCCGGTCGGATCACGTGCGAGAAGTGTGGCGAGAAGATCGAGACGACGATCTTCGTCGATCACATACGCCAGTGCATCGGCGCGGGCACCGTGGGAGCGAATCAGCGAAACTTTCTGAAGAACGCGTTGATGTCGAACCACCTGCCGGCCACGTTGCCACCGACCGAGACCGGCCGCAAGAGCGTCACCGAGGATGGTTCCTCGGTGTCCTCGAGACACCATCGGTCACCATCGTCGGCCAGCGACGCGACCACTCCGGGAAAGGACACGCCGACTCCGACTGCCGGCGAGACCACCGGCAGCTCGTCGCCGTCCGTGTTGAACGCCATCGAGAAATTGATCGAGAAGAGTTTCGACTCTCGCGTCAGGCATGGCACGCCGGGTCTGCATCACGCTCAACCGGGCGCTCCGATGGGCACCAGCATCCTGAAACGGCTGGGCATCGACGAGAGCGTGGACTACACGAAACCGTTGGTCGATCCACAGACGATGAACCTTCTACGCTCGTACCAGCAGCAACACCAGCATCAGCAGCAGCAACACTACGCGACGAGCACGGCCGCACGGCGGGAACGCAGCGGTAGCGAATCGAGCTCGGTTTCGGAACGAGGAAGCGCCGGTAGAACCGACGCGATGACGCCGGAGAGACGCGTGGACCTGCACTCGGTGGACACCAGGCATTCCCATCATCACCGAGTCACGCCGGACAAACAGCTGGTCTCGCAAAACTTGTCCACTGGTCGCCACCATCCGACCACCGAGGAGTCCGGCGACGAAGATTCAACGACGACCGCGTCCGCCTCCGCCGCCGCGGCGACGGCAACGGCGAACGTGGTTGTGAAGAAGGAACCTCGAGATGAGGAATCGGAGGAACGCGTGACGAACGAGGAGGAGCAGCAGCAACAACAACAACAACAACAGCCCCAATCGCAATCTCAGTCGCAAGCAAACCGCTCCGAGGTGTTCGTAAAGAAGGAGATCGTGGAGGATTGCCGGGACGATGACGATCAAGGCTCGTTCAATCACCGACGAAGCAGCCTACACGAGGGATCGGAGGAAGGCCGGGAGGTGCTGTCGCCTCGTATGAACCCACCGACGCCGAGATCGAGCGGCCAGCCGGAGCAAATCGCGCGCAGCCCCTGTAGGAACAGCACCAGCAGCCCGACGAGCAGCGACCGGTCGGTAACGCCGCGCGGAACACCCGACACCAAGGGCTCGAGCAGTCTCGGCGCGCTCTCTTCCATGTTCGACAGCCTGTCCGGTGGCGGAGGAAGCGGAGGCGGCGGTGGTGGTAGTGGCGGTGGCGGCGGCGCCGGCGGCGGAGGAGGCTCGAGCAACGCGGTCGACTCTCAGGGACGGAAAACCAGCAGCCACCCGCTGGCCGCGCTGCAGAAGCTCTGCGACAAGACGGAGACGCGAGGACCGAGCGGCAGCGCGGCCCGTTCCGGTGGCGGCGGTCCTGGGTCCGCGTCCGGTCTCGGCGCAGCGGCCGGGAGTGGCGTGGGCGCGACCGGGCCCGGCTCCGGGACGACTCCGGGAGCGATCCTAGCGTTCAGCTGGGCGTGCAACGACGCCGTCGTCACCGCCGACTCGATCATGAAGTGCGCCTTCTGCGACACACCGTTTATCTCGAAGGGCGCCTACAGGCATCACTTGTCCAAGATGCACTTCGTCAAGGATGGCGTGATCCCGGACCCGTTGACGATCGGCCGGTCAGCGGCGGCCGCTGCAGCCGCGGCTGCTGCCGCCGCGGCGGCCGCGGCCGCGGTCTCGCAGACGTCGGCCACCGGGCCGCCACCGGCCGGTCACAGTTCTTCCTCGCCGCCTACATCGCAGCGCAACAAGTCGCCGCCGCTTCCGCAGGCGAACGGCAGCCCGTCGCAGTCAGCGGCCTCGCCCCTCGAGGAGAGCCCGCACTCGAAATTTCTCAAGTATACGGAGCTGGCCAAACAGTTGTCCAGCAAGTACGTATAGTCCGAGCCCCGTAAGTAGCGGTGCCACTTGTACATAAGTGTATCTATACTGTAACGACTGTAACTAAGCGACGCGACCGGGACACCTATTTCACACCTCCTTCGAGACACCTCCTCCGCCTCCAACGGCCCATCCATCCCTTTCGTTCGTTCGTCCGACGCGATTCCGTTTGTTCCGTTGTTCTCACCATCTTTTCGCTCCTTTCGTCGTTTCGTCGAAACTCTCCCTTCTCTCCACGTTCTCCCTTCGAAGCCGTCGAGGGCCTCCCTCCCGACGAATCGGGGGCCGTTTCAATTCAACTCGAACTCGAAAAACATGTCGTCTTCGACATCGGGATGGGATCGAGTCGCGCGACGAACAAAGTGGGATACAGAGGGGGTTGATTGTCGAACGTGCGTTGATTAAATTGTGATGCCACCATATCTCGCGGCACTGCTGAGTCAAAGGGGCTCGGCGAGCGGCAAAGTTTGTGATTTTATAAATACTTAAGGACATTTACGACCGACGTCGAGAGAGAGCCAGAGAGAAAGAAACAGAGAGACAGAGAGAGAGAGAGAGACAGACAGAGAGAAAGATGACTCGAGAGAGAACGCGCGAATGGGAATCCATGTGTGCTTGAACCTCAGCGGTGTGTGTGTATGTGTGTGTGTGTGTCGAGTGCGTACGAAAGCGTGAACGAACGTGTGAATCTGCACAAGCAAAGAGAGAAAGAGAGAGAGAGAGAGAGAGAAGTATGGCAGCAAGAATGAGACTAAAATTTTTCCAAGGTGTAGGACGGGGAGGCTTAACCTATCACACACACAGCTGTCGTAAGGTCAGATCAGCATGTATACCTCTAGAACGTAAGAGCGTAGTTGATTAGCGCATAGGCTAGGCTAGGGTCCGCCCTTGTATAGGAATCTCTTTGTTGATACTTAGAGCTGCGAAGCCGGTGAGATCGCGTTTTTTCCGGGGGGGAAATCGAACCTCGTCCGAAAGCAAAAAACTGAAAAAAGAA